CAGTGTTGTGTGCTCTTCCGCTATCATTGCATCTAGTCTAGTATGTGCTTTCTAGTTTTCTTTGTTTTCCGCTGCGTCCACCAAATCCGTTGATTGATATTTTGTGTTTCTCATGCCATGCGAGTCCACAATACCTTTGTGACTTTGTCCGTCAGCCTTTCTCTCGTCCTGGTCCTTTCTATACAACTTTTGTGGCCTACTTGTCCTTGTTGTTTTCGTGGACTCTTTCTGCATTGTCGATCTATGCCCATTGTCTTAGCCGCCTAGCTTCTTTCGCCGTCGTTTGTCGTGGGCTATGATCTTTCGCGCAATGCTTTATTCTCTTAATGTTCCATCTTCTTATGACAACCCATATTCTCTTGATGCTTCTCTTGTATCTTCTATTGATGCAATGTCTTCCTCTGATGTGCCATCTCTTCTTTATCCCCTTTGGCTTGACTCAACAGGTTTTGAAGACTCTTCATGCTACGACAACACTCTTAAGTATTAGTATTGTTTTAGGAATCCTTATTGGACTATATTTCCTTACCTTGCACCTCAAGTCTTGTGTAATATATATATGCCCCTTGGACCCTTCAATAGAGATAAGTTGCTTTCTTAACATTAATCTCCAAAATTGTGTAGGGTCGCACATACTTTCTTTTCAGTTTTCACTCCAAATCTGTGAACCCCTCAATTTGGTGTTACCCGGAGATGTCTAGGTGTTCCAATGGTACTTCTGGCAGACTGGCAACTAGTTTTGAAATCCCATAAGTACATTAGTAATAGTGCACTACCACCCAATACTGACCAAACAAACTTGGGTACAAGTAACCTGGGAATAGTTTGTAGTCCAAACCAAGCCCAGTCAAGTACACCAACCAAACGAAACCAACCCAAACAATAAGTGCTAGAATCCAGATCAAACCAAACTGCTTGGATTTTCAAGCCAAACCCATCCAGTCCATTCCCCCAATACCGTTTGAGTCCAAAGTTGCAAACTATGGACATGTGCACATGCGCACGTGGATAGCTGTTGATGCATGCATGTGCAGTTTCACCACAGAACTTTGCTGCCCCGTTGGCACTGAAGGAGCGAAGCCATGGAATGTTCTCCTTGTGCGCCACGGCCCGCTGGTCGCAGGCACCACACACAATGACACAAGCTATGGAAGCTCCCCTGACTGCCGTAACCATAGGGCTGCTACCGAAACTTCCCACTCCGCGCTCTCGCATACCTATCATCGCATACAGATTGCTGGTCATACAAGCTCGGTGGCTCATACCATATCTCATCGAGCTTCTGGAGCATCTTGGTCGGGTCTCTACTGCTTCAACTCGGCCCAGTCCACTGCACTGCCCCAATCGCCAGTTCGCCACTGCATTGTATGCATTCCTCCGGCTCCAATGCCCCGACCAGTGCATGAGCGGTCGGCGTCCCTTGCCAACGTGACCAACTGCCACGTCGAGCCTGGCATGGAGGTTCCTTGGTGGCTCCTCCGCCCTTGCCAATGAGACATGCATCCAAAATGCTAGAAAACATGACGTAGCGTGCGCAGATGGTGGGGCTTCCATTGCGGTGCTCCTTCTCTGTCCTCAACCCTAGGCCACGGGACAACAGTGCACGAGCAAGAGACCACCACGGGGCGGGTCAGGCGGCACAACACACGAAGACGTTATGGAGGTGGAGGGAGGGGAAGGCGATGGCCTAAGCTCCAGCCCGCGGCAGCGGCAGCTCGACGACCCCTAACGCTAGCGGTGGTCGTCACCCGTCTTCTGTCGCTCGATTTGGTTTCCATCTATGGGTCATAACTGAAACTACAGTTTCTGTCCGTTAGAACCGTTTTTCTAACGGACTGCTTTTGGATTGGATGAAATGGGCATAGCCCCTAAATTAATTTGGTTTGGTCCGAACTTTATATTTTATTGGGGTGGTTTGGATTGGTCTAGGTAGAGACCGACTGGCCTCAAACGGTTTTGACCCATAGATGGAAACCTAATCGAGCGACTGAAGACAGGCGACAACCACGGCTTGCATTAGGGGTTGCTTGCTGGAGCTTATGCCGTCGCCTTCCCCTCTTTCCGCCTTCATCCTCATCCGCATGTGCCGCGCCGCCTGACCCACCCCCGCCGTGGTCTCTTGCTCGTGCACTGTGGTCTCTTGCTCATAGGCCGAGGATGGGACAAGAGGAGGAGCAACGCAATGGAGGCCCCCGTGGTCCGTGCATGCTGCGTCTTGGTTTTGGGCTCTAGGGTTGTGTGACTCATTGGTGAGGGCGAAGGAGTTGCCAAACAACCTCCATGCAAGGCTCGGCGTGGTGCTTGGTCACGTAGGCGATCCACCTCTCGTGCTTTGGCCAGGGCATCGGAGCTGGATGCAATGGCAACGGGGGCGGTGTGGTGGACTAGCGGTGGACTAGGCCCAGCTGAAGAAGCAGGGCCTGGCCGAGCTCCTCCAGAAGCTTGATGAGATATGGTACGAGCCGCCGAGCTCGTATAACCAGAAGTCTGGATGTGAGGCAGCCGAGTCGAAGGTTTTGGCAGCCGCCCTATGGGTATGGCAGTCAGGGGAGCTGCCACCACAGCCCGTGTTAGTGTGCATTGTGCGTGCCATGGCCAGCGGGCGTGGCGCACGAGATGGGTTTGGCTTCACTCCTATAGTGCCAGCAGGGCAGCAAAGTTCAGGGATGGAAATGCGTATGCATGCACCAACAACTATCCACGTGCACATGTCCATAGTTTATAACTTTGGACTCCGACCGTATTGGGAGAATGTACTGGATGGGTTTGGCTTGAAAACCCAAACAGTTCGGTTTCATTTGGATTGTAGCAACTTATTGTTTGGGTTGGTCTGGTTGGTGTACTTGTACATGTATGAGTTGGACTGGGTTTGGTTTGGATTACAAACTATTAGCAGGTTTATGTAAACAGAACTCGTAGTAAAGAGCTAAGAGGAGACTAGAATATATTTGGTTTTTTCTTTCTTGTTGTTCTAACTTTGGCTGTCTGCTTTGCTTTCTTTCTTGTAGTTCTAGTATTGATGCAAATCTGACAGAACTGTTAATGTTATGCAGGGGAAGCTGGGTGGACTCCTGACCAGTGGGGGCATTCCAAATCACGTTCAACATTTTCCTCGGATTACAACACTTACAGACAGCAGCTTACTAGCCTTATGCGGATGTTGTTGAAGGCAAGTCTTCTATCATTAATCTGTTTATATGACGTGTGTTGCATTTGCTAGGTTAGTTGATTGCATTGGATAACTTGCACTTTCTATTGCCAACCATAAGATATGCGTCCTTCTATTCCAAAGACTACCTTGTTAGCAGTAATCCTTGTGTTATATTTACTTAGCTAGGGAGTAGTAGTAGGTCGGCTGGAGCTCCTTAGTAAGAAGAGGTAGTGTATGCATCTAGACAGCAGTAGTCAATTTTGTTTTGCATGCACCAGCAGCTGCTAGAGCTGCATGGTCGGTTTAGCATGGAAATCGACTTCCCCATGTACTATATATAGAGCTGAGGGCAGCAATACAAGAAACAGCTTCAAGAAATCAAAACTATCCTGTGTTCAGCTCCAGCTCCCCTTTGCTCCTCTACTTTTAAGTCTATTTCTAACATTTGACATCAGAGTGAAGTTTTGAGCCAAGACCATGTCAGCTTCGGTGGATGGAGGCACCGGTCGCAGCCCACAGCGGAGCGTCTGTCGCCGTCTTTCGCTTTCTTCCACGCAAGCAAGGCACGGGCGGCGCCATGACGGTCCAGAGGTGATCGTCCAACGCATGGTGAAGGAAGTCGGTGATGTGCCATTCACGCAGCTGACTCGGAGCAACTATGGAGCAACCTCATGAGGATTGGAGCCTCCTCATGAGGGTGAAGATGGAGGCCCGTAATTTATGAGATATTGTCGAATTTGGCAACACAAATCACTAGGAAGATCCCATGCTGTCGGAGATGATCCGCACCAAGGAAGCTTGGGAGGCGATCCATGCGATTCGCGTCGGCACTGATTGTGTCCGCAAGTCCACGGTGCAGAAGCTGCACCGGGAATAGGAGCTGCTCACTTTCTCTTGACGACTTTGTGCTCCGCCTTTTTGGACCATGAGAGCCGTGAGAAGATGCTTCGCGTTGTTCCTCGGAAGTATTGGCAGATTGCACTCTCGATCTAGACTCTGCTCGATACAATGGATCTCTCAATTGAAGCGGTGACGAGCTGGCTCAAAGCCGTTGATGATCGCTACGAGCCGCCCGAGTTGGAGCAACCTCTCTTGTCTGGCTGCAAGCTCTAATTCTTCGAGGAGTAGTGGCTCTCCCGGATGATGCAAAGGCGGGTCGGAGGTTAGCTCTAGGCCTCCCAAGCCGAACAACAGGCGGCGATGCCCTTGTGGTGCCCGAAAGAAGATGAGCAGCACACCCCTTGCCAAGGAAGGAGCCAAGGATGATGACCGTGACAGATGCCGTAGTTGTGGCCTCCTTGAACACAAGCATTCAACCTTTTCCACTGCAGCTTGTTCCTTCTCTTCATATGGATCTATGAACAGCAAAAGAAAATGAGTAAATGGCTTGCTGGAAGTACCATTGAAAAGAACTAAGAGTTTACTTTACTCACAAATTCAAATTCACTCCAATTTCTCTCACACCCGGATGATGATGCACAAAGGCTGACAGTGCGCTTTGCAAATCTTTGTATGTCAGTGGCCCGACCACCATATGCACACCACCAATCAACTAAAGTGATAAAAGGGGACAGTAAAAAACATATGAACTTATGAAGAGTAAACATGCTGAAATTAACATGTTGCAATTAACAATACTTACGAGGGCCCTTTTCCTCAATATTTTCAATTGCCAACGCATTAGAAAAGACTCTACGATGGGCCTTGTAGAGCACAGCTTGTTGATCAATATTGCTTCAAGTATTTTTTTTGATAAGATTGCTTCGAATATTGGCATCAAGTACTGTTTCTGCAAGCACATCATTAAAGCAGCTCCTTAGCTCTCCAACTAAGGCATCGTCATTCCTCTTTACAATAGGGAAAAACTTTCCTGGTTCAAAAAAAGAGCAGCCCTATACAATGGTCGGGCCATTTGAGTCTCCCAACGCTTCTCAACAATGCACAAGATCTTCTTGAGCAAAGGTTGCTTGTTTTGTTCGGGGAAACTTTGATTGATCCTCTCCTTTGCATAAATCATAAGTGCTGTAATCTCCGGCATGGCAGGCTTCTCATCACCACCCACTACCCTAAACGCTCGAAGAAGTGGTGTTGAAGCTCTAAGGCAGCCCTCAATTGAATGCCGTCGCTCAGCTGAAAGCACAATGTCTTGCACATTCAAGCTAGCTTGTGTTTTTGCCATGTTGCTTCCAACCCATGCTGCACATGTAAAACATACTCGTCAAAGCTGCCTTGTGTAAGGAAGGCTGTGGCGAAATGAGTGGCTGCTGGTCTCACAAGATCTATCCCATTCGTCGCCTTCCCCATTGGACTAAGAATTCTCCCATGACTATAGATGGAAGTTGTGGCACCTCTAGCCTGTGCAATAGGTTTCTTGAATGTCTTCAACTTCCCTATGTCTTCAAGCATTAGATCCAAGCAATGGCATGCACAAGGACTCCAATATAGTGCATAGATCCTCAACTCTAAAAGGTGGCCAGCTGCCTTGTAGTTAGCACCATTGTCGGTGACAACTTGCACGGCATTATCTTTCCCAACTTCCTCAATTCTCTTGTCTAGCAAATCAGCGATCATTTGAGCATCATGTGATTCACTTGAGGCATCAATCGACTCCCAAGAAGAAAGTGCCCTCCATACTGTTAACAAGGAAGTTAATCAAAGGGCGCCCCCTTCTATCTGGCCAGCCATCTGACATGAGTGCGCATCCATATTGTTTCCATGCTGCCTCGTGCTGCTTCCTTAAAGTAGTACTCTTTTCCTTGACACAATCATTAAACAATGGCTCTCTCAGCTCATAGCCACTAGGAGGTTTGTAACCTGAACCGTATTGACAAGAGGCTTCAATTGCAACCTCAAACTGTCTACTGCTTGCAGCATTGAATGGAATGCCACACCCATAGAAGAACAATGCCCACTGCATATTCACATAGTGCCTCTCTTCTTTAGTCTTTGTGCAGGACTCCATGGTGCTTTGAGAACACCCTGAGCGTCTTTCATCTACAAGATCCTCAGGTGTTCTTCAAATCATGGCAACAATTGGTTTTGAACTATTGGTGGAAGCAGCGGTGGACTTCTTGCCTCTTCCTTGCATGTTGGCAACAAATGCTCTCTTGTTCTTGGCTGCTGTCCCTGAGCTTGGCCTGGTATTGGGGACATTGTTCCATCTGCATTCACCTCCACAACCTCCTTATTATTGTCATCTACATCTACCCCCTTGATCCTCCTGTTCTGCTCCAAATATTCTGCCATCTCTCTCCCATCTAGTGTGGTAGCCTTAGGACAACCGATCACATCTCCACTTAAGCCAGCAAGATGCTCCTTGTGCCTCTTGATCCCTCCAGTGGTTATCTTGCCACAAAGATTGCACACGACACTTTCCCGATGGGGAGGATCATGCCAATATCCATATTTCCACCCCGGATCATTTGACCGTAGTGGCTTCCTTGCTTGATCTTTCATTGAATCGTAGCTGGGCTCATCCCCATCAGCCCCTCCATTTGCAGCCATGTTGCTACACTTCTACTGCCTGCAGCAAACAACCAAATACAAAAGAATATTAAGTAACCAACCAAAACAATCAAACAGCCTACAGCCATGGCAGCGGTTTTTGGCTGCCGTGGCAACATGGCATCAACAAACAAGCAATGATTGTTTGCTGCCGGCATCAGCAAACAAGCAATGATTGTTTGCTCACTAATCAGCATGCATTGATAGGTGTCCCATGAAAGCAGCACATCATTAGCCAATAAACTAATCACTAACCATGCATCATTATTCTAATCACCATCCCACCATATATATACCCATCCCACCATGCATCATTATTCTAATCAATCGGAGAGCTGATCATGCATTATTCTAATCAATCTAACCATCCACTAAGTCACAAGCATCCTACTCATCTAATACAAGAGAGGCAGTGAGCACTGAGCACTGAGCACTGAGCAAAGTTGCATAACAAAGCAGGCAACACAACTAGAAGTGCATGAGAGGAGAAAGGGGAGGAGGGGAAGAGGGGGGATCGATACCTTGCTGTTTGTTGGAGAGGAACAAGCTGCTGCCTGCTGGAGATGGGGGGATGAGCTGCCAGAGGAGCTGCTGCCTTCTGGAGATGGGGGATATGGCGATCTGCTCTCGCCCACCGCCGCGAAAAGTCCAGAGAGGAAAGAGCCCTCTCGATCTGTTTGTTTAGATTCATGCGCAAGGGATCTTTCCTGCCTGTGTGTTCTTGCGCGAGGCAGGTTTTCCCGCTTGAACCCTGCGGTCCTAGCCTAAAGCGAGCAAGGACGCCTAAACGGATGATCTGGACGAAACACCTAAATCGGACGCTTTACCGACCTCTGTCTATGGTGAGGTTGACGCCTCGTCTCCTGGGAGCGCTGGGAGCGCTCTGACGCTTAAGCGATGCTTTAAAACCAGTGAGCTAGGCATGCGCAAGGTCCTGACGGGCGTCTACTACATTCCCGGGCTCCGCAACATCGTGAGCCTGCGGTAGCTAGATGAAAATGGCGTTGCCATCCACATCACGTGAGGAATCCTTCGTATCTGGGACAAGCAAGAGCGTCTTCTTGCCTCGGTGCCACGTGAACGCAACTGGCTATATGTGGTGCACTTCAACATCACTCACCCTAGGCCTTGCCGCACGTCACGACGTCGTGGCCTGGCGATGGCACGATAGGTTTGGCCACATCTCCTTCCACGCGCCGAGACGCATGTCTCGCAACAAGATGGTGTGTGGGCTGCCGGAGCTCGAGCATATGGGCCAGCTCTGCAATGCCTGCATCACCACTGATGTAGGACCAAGTCCTAGGTTTGCCTGATCTTCACGAATTGGAGGTGGATTTGAGGAAGAACATGAAGAACACAAGGGGAAATTGAGAAGTACAAGAGAAAAACACTGTTGAAGAAGATCCACACAAAAGTACTCAAATCACAAGGCAAACTGATGGATCTCAAGCATTCAACAACAAGAAAGGAAAGTAAAGATAACTAGGTAGTTCTTCACAGATCTCTAAGAAGTGAGGTCTTGAGAGATAGATCTTCCCCACATCTCTAGGTGAGATGGAGGTCTTGGTAATCCCTTGGGATTCTTCTCCCAATGGAGGCCTTGGTCTCCAGCGGAGAAGGGTAGATGAACAAAGCTCTCTCAAGTAGTTCTAATATGCTTTGCTAACCCTAAAATGAAGGAGGGGAGGAGGTATATATAGGTCCAAGGCATGAAGGGGTAAGTGAGGGGCAAAGAGGGAAAGATACACGGGCTTTTCCCAAATTCTGCATGTAGGCAGGCTGGACGTCGAGGTTCATGGTCAGACGTTCGGGCTTCGGCTGGACCGTCCGGGTAGCTGGCCGGACGTTCGGAGGCTGATGCTCGAATGGGTCTAGGCGACTTCCTCGGCGTAGGCTCCAGGGGTTGGACCTCCGGGTAGCAAGGTGGAGGCCTGGCATAACCGAAAACGCGACTTATGTTGCGTTCTCCTCAAGCCGGACGTCCGAACAGTCTGAGTCGCTGTCCGGACGTACGTCTACTGTAGCATCGGCAACACTACTTCCTCTACTTTCTTTCGTCTCCGCTTCCAAGCTTCCCTCGCAGATGGTGTAGGTGTACTCTTGTGCTTGTAGTCGTCCTCGTCATGTGTGAAGCTCTGCTCAAACCTATACATGCACGAAGGAGGGTCAAGTAGTATACCATCCTCAAAGGGAACAAGTAAACACGCAAAAAGGATAAGTTTCATCTTAGTATATGGAATGCACGTGTCCCTTGGCGATGGAGCCAAAGCCATGGTAACCAGGAAGCTTCGGCGCACTCCCTTTCCCAAGAAGGCGAACTTCAGGGCTGAAGGAGGCCTCGTACTCGTCCATCGAAACATGTGCGGGCCTATCAGCCCTGCAACCGATGGCGGTCGTCGCTATTTCCTGCTGCTGGTTGATGACTGCACCGTTGCTTCAATTCAGCGAGTCCAAGCGGTGGCTGAAGCAGAGTGTGGACGGCCATTCCATGTCTTCCGCACCTATCAGCCCTGCAACCGATGGCAGTCGTCGCTATTTCCTGCTGCTGGTTGATGACTGCACCGTTGCTTCAATTCAGCGAGTCCAAGCGGTGGCTGAAGCAGAGTGTGGACGGCCATTCCATGTCTTCCGCCAACAGTGGCGGCGAATTCACCTCGTTGGAGTTTGCACGCCATTGTGAGGAGCAAAGTGTGCAACGTCAGTTCACGTTGCCCTTTTCCCCACAGCAGAATGTGGAGTGCGGAATCAGACTGTCGTTGCCACTGCTCATGCCGTGTTGAAACAGAGAAAGTTGCCAGCAAAATTTTGGGGGGAGGCGGTCACAACTTCAGTTTTCTGCTGAATCGAGCCCCGACCAAAAGTATGGCTGGCATGACGGCCACGGGAGGAAGCCTGCTGTCCAGCACCTGCACACCTTTGGGTGTGTGGTGTACGTCAAGGACGTACGCCCTCAGCTTCGCAAGCCCGTTGATCGCTGCTCCGCCATGGTCTCTTCATCGGCTACGACAAGCGCGTCAAGGGCTGCTGCACATACGAACAAGCGTGTCTATATCACTTGTGATGTCATCTTCGATGAAGAGGCCAGCTTTTATTGGACGGCCGTGCAGTGACTTCATCATCATGAAGATCCAGCAAGCTGCTTCTTCCACACCAAGTGCAGCTGCAGGGGGAGCACCTTCCCCTGTTCCTGCACCATCTCCTGCTGCACAGCCATCTCCAGCATCGCTGCCAACAACATCAAGCCAATCTCCACAGGCAACACAGCTTGAGTTCGTGTCACCGCCACGCGATGACAACGAGCGGTTGGACACAAGTCATGATGACTCACTGCTGCGCTATCAGGGCATTGACAAGGTGATCGGCAGCACCCTTGTTGTATAGGCGAGCTCGTCGAGGACACACTCTAGCTTGTGTGTGAAGGAGAGCCGAGCTCCTTTGACGAGGCTGAGCGCGACGCAGCATGGCGTGCAGCCATGAAGGAAGAAATGAACGCCATGCAGCGGAATGGCACCTGGGAGCTTTTGGATCTACCACGCGGCCATCACCCAATTGGCCTGCGTTGGGTCTTCAAGTTGAAGAAGATCTAGGCCGGCGCCGTCATCAAACGCAAGGCACGGCTCGTCGCGTTAGGTGCGGCAGCTTGGGGTCGACTTTGATGAAGTCTTCGCCCCCGTC